TCGGGCGTTCGGTCCATGATCAGTATCAGGAGAGAGAGGAGGGGACCCGGCGGCATACCTTATCCCGCCGGGTGACTGTCCCCTCCTCTCTCTGCCGGCGTCCATCACCAAGATGGGTGCCAGCAGGTATCAGAAGAGTGGTGCGCGATGACATCATCACGCACGCGCGTGTTGACGTCACGCGCATGCGCAGTGGCAAGTCGGCGGGGTGACACTCCTTAACCGCTCCGGGTGTCACCCAGCCTCGGGACGCCCCTACCCTGGTGTCATTATTATTATGTCCCCCCTGTGTCATTATTATGTCCCCTGGTGTAATTATTATTATTACGGTGACACGACCCCCACCCTGCAGGCATCTCATTCCCCTCACATAGATCCTCAGTAGTAGTCGTCATTACCATACCAGTCCCTCGGCCAGCTGGGCAGACACCGCACTCTGGCACCTGCCCATGTCTCCTGTGTGCACAGCGCCAGCGTGATTGGCCCTCAGTCTGCTACTGTGGACACGCAGACTGCCCAGCGCTCTCAATCAGAAATTCTGTGCATGCGCAGTAGCAGGCTGAGGGCCGATCACGCTGGCGCTGTGCACACAGGAGACATGGGCAGATCCATGAGAGCTTTGAGAGCGGTATCTGGCCGAGGAACTGGTATGACAATGACGGCTGCTAAGGATCTATGTGAGGGGAATGATTTGTCTGCAGGGTGGGGGGTCAAGTCGCCATGTTATCAGATTTGTTTGCCCGGCTCGACACTGATTGGCTGGGAAGCCGGCTTCCCGGCCAATCAGCATCGAGCCGGCCAAATAGCATAGATCCAGCTTCCCAGCTCCATGTTCCCTCGCGGCACTGCCGGTCAAAGGAAATCTCCGTCTGACCAGAAGTTCTGGTATCGGGAAAGGTATCGGAGCATTTGGGCGAGTACGAGTATCCGGCATTGCGGAACCTGGCCTTGGGGCAGCAGGCAGGGTAAATCCGGTCCTGTCCCAAGTCATCACCATAATGACACCAGGGGGACGGACATAACAATAATGACACCAGGGGACGGACATAATAATGACACCAGGGGGACGTACATAAAAATAATGACACCAGGCGACACCGGGGGCGGGACACACACACACACACATCATCACCATAATGACACCAGGGGACAGACATAACAATAATGACACCAGAGGATGGACATATTATGACACCAGGGGGACGGACAAAACAATAATGACACTACTGCACTACTGCCACAGGCGGCATGTAGGGGAGAGGCGGTTCTGGTTGGGACTAGTGATGGGCTTGATGCTTAATTCGAACGTGAGTTTGACGTGAACAATCGGCAGTTTGTGTGTACGGCGGGCTCTTCACCCGCCGAGTGCCCCACAAGGCACTGCGCCTTGTTAAGCCTTGGTTGGCTAAAGCCATACACCTAACCATAGGTCAGGTGCAAGACTTTGCCCAATCAGGGCACAGAGAATTGTGAGAGCCATGATTGGGCAAAGTCATCATGACATGGCTCACCTGTCAGATGTCCTACAACTGTAAACATATGAACGGAGCTAGCTGTCACCGATAGCTCCGCCCAATTGTTTATATGTTGCCGGCATTTGTCAAAATGACATTATGCGGCGGGACGGCAGTCGTTGTTTTTTTTATTTTAAAAAAATTATTATCATTTCTATTTATTTTGTATTCTTCTATTTTTTATTTCGAGGAGCTGTCGTGGAGAACGCTGGACGTTGTGATTGACCCTGGGTTACGTCGGTGTATCCATTTTTGGGGGTTTTTCTTTTTTTTTTTGTAATAAAAGACTTGTCAAAAACTTGAGGGCATCTGGGTGCCCCTTTACTAAAGGGGTACCCTGATAGGAAAAAGCGTCCTGCCCGCACACCCCACAACCAACGCCCCAGGGCTTGTGGGGAAGAGGAAACTAGAAAGAAATGGTAACCGCATAAATGTATAACCAGCCTTTGTAGCAGGGTGCATATGGGCAGTACCCGGATCCCCATACGTGTCCCTCAGGGCACTACCCGTATCCCCATACATGTCTCCCACGGTAGTACCAGACTCCCCATACATGTCCCCCAGGGCAGTACCCGGATCCCCATACGTGTCCCTCAGGGCGGTACCCGGATCCCCATACGTGTCCCTCAGGGCGGTACCCGGATCCCCATACGTGTCCCTCAGGGCGGTACCCGGATCCCCATACGTGTCCCTCAGGGCGGTACCCGGATCCCCATACGTGTCCCTCAGGGCGGTACCCGGATCCCCATACGTGTCCCTCAGGGCGGTACCCGGATCCCCATACGTGTCCCTCAGGGCGGTACCCGGATCCCCATACGTGTCCCTCAGGGCGGTACCCGGATCCCCATACGTGTCCCTCAGGGCGGTACCCGGATCCCCATACGTGTCCCTCAGGGCGGTACCCGGATCCCCATACGTGTCCCTCAGGGCGGTACCCGGATCCCCATACGTGTCCCTCAGGGCGGTACCCGGATCCCCATACGTGTCCCTCAGGGCGGTACCCGGATCCCCATACGTGTCCCTCAGGGCGGTACCCGGATCCCCATACGTGTCCCTCAGGGCAGTACCCGGATCCCCATACACCTTTTATGGCCAATAAATTGCATATAAGGTTTCAAAATGGGGTCAATTGATTCTCACAGTTCTACCCCCATAGACTTGCATTGAGTTAAAGTTCATATTCAAATTTTTTCCATGTTCTAAAGTTCAGATTAGAACCAAACACGGGGGGCAGGTGTCGGGCTCATCACTAGCTAGGACTGCTCTGGGCAATCTTGGCCACCGTGACCGAATTTATCTGGTGTGAACAGGCTATTAACAGGAATGGGCAGACCCCCCGAGGATCAGGAAGCTTCAGCAGACAGTAAGAGACAGTTTTGATGTAACACTCTGTAGCTTTGGAAGCTGCGGCGGGCCGCTCCCCAGCTCCTGACCCGAGGCCTAATTATACGCTTGCAGGAAATTGATAATAAAACAATTTGCATGGTTCATACGCGTCTTTGATCTAAACTGCGATACATCTGGAACTGGCGCCAGCTCATGTTTCATATGTGCTCTGCAGAATTGGGGTTGTCAGGTGACATTCTGACAATTTAAAGAGAACTTGTCATCAACCTAAAAAATTGCAATGGGCCTCTGAACTTGCTAGAAAAATTTGACTTCTTCAAAAAGGTCATTTCCCCAGCACATGCCTCAAATCCATTAAACACACACATACAGTTGTGCTCATAAGTTTGACTCATGACTGATTAACTTTACAATAACAGTGCGGTGAGTGCGCACCCCTTGGGGGAGGGGGGGCAGGCGTGGACACTAACACATGGTGTGGGAAGCACCTTTTGGATTTTTTTCAATTTGGACTCAATTCACCAATATTGCATATTATTTATTGTCAGATTGAAAACTATCTGTGATTGCTTGGATTTGTTGCTACTATAATAAGTACACTATTATCCTTTTATATTCTTTTATGTAGCTGCACAATAGAACTATTATATTTTGTTGCACCTTTGAAATAATTGTTATAATTGCTATGAAGATAGTGATTCACGTGGTGACACACAGGTCACATAACTTTTGATGCACAGGCATTGTGCCTTCTTCTTATTATTATCTAAGCTGTCACTGAGACAGACTTTAGGTCAACTATTTATTATTATGATTGCACAATATTAATATATAATTAACATGCCACTCAGGGCCGGTGCTAGGATTTTTGCCTGCACAGGCAAAGTTGCATTTTTGCACCCCCACTCAGGAAGGACAATACCCAGAGGGGAAAGCAGCACTCGGGAAGGACAATACGCAGAGGGGAAAGCAGCACTCGGGAAGGACAATACCCAGAAGGGAAAGCAGCACTCGGGAAGGACAATACCCAGAGGGGAAAGCAGCACTCGGGAAGGACAATACCCAGAGGGGAAAGTAGCACTCGGGAAGGACAATACCCAGCAATACAACAATGTGCTGGAGAACTTTTATATTGCTCTGCCCTGCCCATGTGCACCCTTCCCGCTCTTTGCTAGTTTTCAATGGATCTGATTGGCTGCCATTATTGCTTCGCCGAGACTTAATCATGACTAGAGATGAGCGGGAACTCAAAAACTTATCTCATTGATCTGCATATGCCAAATTTGCCTAAAAGGATTTGTATTATTGTCTGTCCACTCCTGAAATTTACACAGCCCTGGCACGCAGTACAGCCCAATCTGGCAGGACAGGAGACCTGATTTTTCTTTGCTGCAGTCAAGAAATACTCACATGTCTTGTCCCTCCCCCAGCTTGTGATTGGACAGTGAAAGGAGAAGCATCAGGCTGATGAGCTCATCACTTTGCTTTCTCCTCCTTTCAGCATGCCCCTTGTTACTTCATGAGCACTGCAGCACAGCTAGTTGGGTTCTTGCACTGCTTTTCTCTCTCTCAGTCTGAGTTATGCTGTACAGTGACCTGCAAGAGGCTGATACCAGGTCAAAGTCTGCTACTTACACAGCTTGCATATAAAAAATACATTTAATGCTGTATTAATGAATGCAGAGCTACATTAATCTGAGTCTGTTCTATCTGCCTGGAGTTCAGCTTTAACGCCCCGGTACATAAACCCTTCATGAATTTGGTCGCTATGGGCGAGGCGGCTACAATATTCTTGCTGGGCCATGTTTAGGTTCAGACTGTTTGGGAATATTTCATCATAGAGACACACCTATAGAAGTGCAATCTCAGCCCCCGATTATGCAACATGCATCATGCCAAACAGTTCGAGGCAATCGTGTGGGAGTTTATCCAGCTTGTCAAGTGCACAGATCTATGTGCCACCCTCAAATTCCCCTTCAGTGATCTGCAGGTGGCTCATACCATTTCCACTGATTAGGGGGGAGGGGGGTGTGCTAAATATAACAACTCCATTCCTGGGCGCAGACCTTGTTGCAGCAGTGATGGGATTTTTATTGCGTCATCTTTATAGTCTAGTAACAGTTTTCACCTATAATAAAAATGAGTCACTGTTCTGAGGATGATCCTGGTCTAAAAGCAGTTGGGGGATTCAGTGAACCCAGGGCACCTTCTAAAGAAGACCAAGCTGTCACTGACAAGGTAAGTGGTTGGAGAACCAATCCTAATGGGGACTATAAAGTATGTTTATTGGCTGGACATTGTGAATTAGTCTTGCAGCTCATAAAGTTGACAATTAAAGAAACAAAGCAATTGCCAATTACTGCGAATTTATATTGGACGCGGGAGGCCCTTTTATTTAGAAATTCTTCTTGAGACTTCCGGGTCCATAACATGTGAATGGAATGAAAGCAAAATGTATCTTTTTTATGATTTTATGTATTTTGCGTTTTGCGTAACATTTCATTTTCCGCATGTAACTTCTATATCTATATTGTTTTTTTGCTGTTCTCTATTTCTGCTACTGTATTAACTATACAAATGTGTAGATTGGCCAGTAGAGGGACGTCTGCGTTCAGCTGCGATCGCTCTGCCATCCCTGATCTAAAATTTCAGGGATAAAAAATAATTTGCAAAAGCATTGCATTGCTTCCACTGGGACAGACCGCCTCCCAAAGTTGGCCCGCACACCTTACCATGTGATCGCACGATCTCTCTGAGAGCTGCCAGAATAAGGAAAGGTGAGGTCCCACCTAAACCCAATCCATTCAAGTTGTATTCAAAAATGGATTGTGCAATCGCATTACATTGTGTATTGTCAGATGTCGGGTGCAATAGGTGAGGGTAATAGGCAGGGAGATATCTGGTTGCAGTTCAGGCCGGTGTTCTGTCGAGATCTCCAACACGTGATGTCATATCCGTTGTAGATTTCGACGAGATGGCGCTGGTGCGCGTGCGGCAGCTGTCTCAGTTATTGCAATCCTCGTTCACTTCTCCACTCCCCCTTAGGTGCGTCTGTGCGGCTTCGAAATGGACATCGAATTCTTCAACTCCCGTCGGTGCTTGTGGCATCGGGTGCCCGTGCAGGCGCACAGCCGCAAATTGTACAGCTTGATATTTCTCTTGGGTGGCTGCGCAGGCTCACTGTCGGGAGTTAGAGGTCTCGACGAGTTTGAGAATTCAATAGAACACCGGCTGAATGAGCGACGTACTATTACAAGTGCTGTTCTAGATTCTGATCCATGAAATATTTAGGCAAGTTCTGCTCTATGAGGAGGAGGTGATAAATGCATTTGGTGGTCACGTGTTCTCATTACCATATGGAGAGGTTTGCCAATATGATGGCAACTTTGCGCATTGAGGAATCTGGCCTTGGGGAAGCAGAGAGAGTAAATCCGGCCCTGGTCCTGCTGCAGTATATACTCTTATGTACCACCATCTGTACCCCTAATTGTTATTCGGTACCTTTGCCTGCTATGATGATTTTAGGGGGGACACCAACGCAAAAAAAAAGCATGCCCCCCTCCCTGCACCATACTAAGCCACATGCCCTGAACATAGGGAGGCTGCTTTGCCAGGGGGGACCCCCTGCAAAAGCACCCCCATGTTGATGAGGACAAGGGCCTCTTCACCCCAACCGTGGCCCAGTGGTTGTGGGGGTCTGGGGGCAGGGCAGCTTATAGGAATTTACAAAGAGTAGAACCACTACCACTACAAATCCTTTACTAAAAACATAAACTAAAAAAATAAAAAAGTCCCACAATGTCAATCCAGCGTCGATCGCCTTGTCCAGCGATGTAAATCGTCCCGATCCTAGAAGCCTAACACCCGCCAAACCCCACGACAAAAAAGTACCCACCGATCAACTCCTGACATAATGTTTACATCAGGCAGTGGGCAGAAATAAACAAAGCACCCAGATTCCTATACGCACCCCCCTGACCACAGACACCCCACAACCACCGGGCCAGGGTTGTGGGGAAGAGACCCTTGTCCTCATCAACATGGGGACAAGATGCCTTCCCTGGCAAAGCACCCTCAGCAAGTTGAGGGCATGTGACCCAGTATGACGAGGGGGAGGACTGCACGATGCCAGGCTGCTGCTCGGATCAAGAGTTTGGTAAGGGATTTTAAGGGGGAACCGCACATGTCTAGTTTAAGGACGCCTGACCATCACACTTACAGTATATGAGCTTGTTAGACATCTTATTCCTCCAAAACCCTTTGTGGCTATAAAAGCTTCAACTCTTCTAGGAAGCCTTTCCACAAGATTGGAGGCTGTCTGTGGGAATTTGAGCCAATTTAGCCCAAAAAAACATTTGTGAGGTCCGATGTTGGATGAGAAGACCTGGCTCACAATCAGGGTACCAGTTCATCCCAAAGGGATTCCGATGGGTTGAAGTCGGGGCTCTGTGAAGGACACTCGAGTTACTCCACACCAAACTGGTCACACCGTGTCTTTATGGCGCTGGGTTTGTACACAGGGGTATGGTCATGCTGGAACAGAAAAGGGTCTTCATCAAACTGTCTTTGTATGCGATAAGTATTAACGGTACTCAATCATTTGGATAGAGCACTTTTGCTCAATCCAAATGATACTTAGGACTGAACTCAGTCAGTTGGAGAGGTGTTTACATGCTTGGCCATATAAGCAGGTGTGATGGTCAGGTGTCCATAAACGTTTGAGCATAGAGTGAATGGAAGTATTCATAAATGTGTATCTCTGGTTGTATGTTACTCCTCCTTCTCACAATACAAGTCTAAGGGGTCCATTTATAGATCAGCAGTTATGGGCCTGTTGTGTAGATCTGCTTTACACAGCAGGCCCATAGCTGAGATATAAAAGAAATGCTCTGATTTATATTTGGTGTGCAGGTATGGGAGATGAAGTGGATGAAGTGTGGGTGTGTGGTCACCCAGATTCCTATAAGCACCCCCCTGACCGCAGACCCCCCACAACCACCGGGCCAGGGTTGTGGGGAAGAGACCCTTGTCCTCATCAACATGGGGACAAGGTGCCTTCCCTGGCAAAGCACCCTTCTCATGTTGAGGGCATGTGGCCCAGTATGATGATGTCATACCAGGAGATCCAACACCCCTGGAAGTGTGTTAGGAGATTTGACACCCCCGGCAGTTTGGCAGGAGACCTGACAACCCCGGTAGTATGCCAGGAGATTTAACACCCCCAGTAGTATGCCAGGAGATCCGACACCCCCGGAAGTGTGCCAGGAGATCTGACACCCCCCAATAGTATGCCAGGAGATCTGACACCCCCGGAAGTGTGCCAGGAGATCTGACACCCCCCAATAGTATGCCAGGAGATCTGACACCCCCGGAAGTGTGCCAGGAGATCTGACACCCCCAGAAGTGTGCCAGGAGATCTGACAAATCCAGAAGTGTGCCAGGAGATCTGACACCCCCCAATAGTATGCCAGGAGATCCGGCACCCTTGGAAGTTTGCCAGGGGATCTGACAAACCCAGAAGTGTGCCAGGAGATCTGACACCCCCCAATAGTATGCCAGGAGATCTGACACCCCCCAATAGTATGCCAGGAGCTCCAACACCCCTGGAAGTGTGCCAGGAGATCTGACACCCCCAGAAGTGTGCCAGGAGATCTGAAACCCCCAGAAGTGTGTCAGGAGATCTGACACCCCCCAATAGTATGCCAGGAGATCTGACACCCCCGGAAGTGTGCCAGGAGATCTGACCCCCCCAGAAGTGTGCCAGGAGATCTGACAAATCCAGAAGTGTGCCAGGAGATCTGACAACCCCCGGTAGTATGCCAGGAGATCCAACACCCCCCAATAGTATGCCAGGAGATCCGACACCCCTGGAAGTGTGCCATGGGATCTGACAAACCCAGAAGTGTGCCAGGAGATCTGACATTCCTGGAAGTGTGCCAGGAGATCTGACATTCCTGGAAGTGTGCCAGGAGATTTGACACCCTCGGTAGTATGCCAGGAGCTCCAACACCCCTGGAAGTGTGCCAGGAGATCTGACACCCCCAGAAGTGTGCCAGGAGATATAACATTCCTGGAAGTGTGCCAGGAGATCTGACACCCTCGGTAGTATGCCAGGAGATCCGATACCCCTGGAAGTGTGCCAGGAGATCCGATACCTTTGGAAGTGTGCCAGGAGATCCGATACCTTTGGAAGTGTGCCAGGAGATCCGATACCCCTGGAAGTGTGCCAGGGTATCTGACAAACCCAGAAGTGTGCCAGGAGAACTGACATTCCTGGAAGTGTGCCAGGAGGTTTGACACCCTCGGTAGTATGCCAGGAGCTCCAACACCCCC